ATGTGCTTCACCTGATCTGCCAAGCTTCACGTCAACTACGTCATTACTAATGAATAAATCAAAATAATATTTTTTTTAGTTCCGTTAAATGTTGTTAAGCATTTTGTAACGTAAACTCACATTAGTAGAATTGAACACTGTAAAAAGCACATAATCAGTACCTGAGGTGATTGTTGTCATAGTAGTTCATGCAGTTGTTCAGCCACAAGTAATACTAACCGTTTTTAATATTACAAATTTCAGGTGATGGTTTACCAAAAAAACCCGCTCGTGTTGGTGTCGTCAATCTGGCAACCTGCCTTTTCGTGGAGTAGCTGAAATTGTTTTAAATTTGAACTGCAATATCTAGTTCGATCACTGGATATCAATCTTACAATACTGCACCTTTAACGCTGCTGCCTCATATGATTTCAAAAACACTGTTCTAATAGACTGTTCAGTGTCTGTCACATCTGCATTCACCTGCCACACCCACCACTGTTCAATATTCATGATGCTAGCTCGCCAATTTGCCACGCCCACCATCATGTGACATTTATGGTAATCTGCATTCAATCTGCTACGCCCACCACTGTTCAATATTCATGATGTTATGATGCTTATCTGTCACGCCCACCACCATTTAATATTCATGCTGTTTGATTGCCGATTTGCCACACCAACCATCATTTGATATTTATGATATTCTGTATTCAGTCTGCCACGCCCACCACTGTTTAATATTTGCAATGTTATGATTATCTGCCATGCCCACCACTGTTCAATACTCGTGATGTTAAGTTGTCAATTTGCCACGCCCATCCTCATTTGATATTTATGATATTCTGTATTCAGTCTGCCACGCCCACCACTGTTTAATATTTGCAATGTTATGATGATTATCTGCCACGCCCACCACTGTTCAATATTCATGATTTTATGATGATTATCTGCCACGCCCACCACTGTTCAATACTCATGATGTTATGATGATTATCTGCCACGCCCACCACTGTTCAATATTCATGATTTTATGATGATTATCTGCCACGCCCACCACTGTTCAATACTCATGATGTTATGATGATTATCTGCCACGCCCACCACTGTTCAATATTCATGATGTTATGATGATTATCTGCCACGCCCACCACTGTTCAATATTCATGATCTTATGATGATTATCTGCCCCACCCATCACTGTTCAATACTCATGACGTTGCCAATTAGCCACGCCCATCCTCATTTGATATTTATATTCAGCATTTAATTTGCCAGGCCCACCAATTTGCCGCGCCCACTATCAGTTGATATTTATGATATTCAGCATTCAATCTGCCACGCCCACCACTGTTCAATATTCATGATGTTAGATTGCCAATTTGTCACGCCCACCACTGTTTAATATTCATAATGTTAGATTGCTAATTTGCCACGCCCACCATCATTTGAGATTTATGATATGTTGCCTTCAGTCTGCCACGCCCACCACTGTTTCGTATTCATGATGTTAGGTTGTCAATTTGCCACGCCCATTACTGTTTAATATTCCTGATGTTAGATGCTAATTTGCCACGCCCACCATTATTTGATATTTATGATATTCAGCATTAAGTCTGCCACGCCCACCACTGTTCAATATTCATGATGTTGTGATGCTTATCTGCAACGCCCACCACCGTTTAATATCCACAGTGTTCTGTTGCCAATCTGCTAATCACGCCCACAAATGTTTAATATTCATGATGTCCTGTGTTTGATCTGCAGAAAGTACTTACCTGTGCTGAAGAACTTCCCCTCTCAGTATATTTACGAGCCGTGGAAAGCACCAGAAGACGTCCAGCTTAGCGCCGGCTGCATCATCGGTATGGAGAGATGCTAAACATTCACTAACTGACCAATGCGACTGTCTAAACTGGTTTAGTGATGTTCTGACCCGTGTGTGTGTGCAGGTAAAGACTATCCCCGGCCAATAGTGAGCCACATAGAGGCCAGCCAGAGGAACCTGGCATTGATGCGTCAGGTGCGGACAGAGCAGCAGACGACCGCAGAACTCACGCGAGGTAAAATACGATAAATGTTTATGTTGCACAAAAAAAGATATGTTAATTGTTTTTTTATGATGTAATTCAGTGCAGTGCGAAGATTCTACATATTATCATTATCTACATACGATTTATCAACGATAATTTTCGCCCAGCACTACTGTGTGTGTGTGTGTGTGTGTGTGTGTGTGTGTGTGTGTGTGTGTGTGTGTGTGTGTGTGTGTGTGTGTGTGTGTGTGTGTATATATATATATATATATTACTTTTTCTGATGGATTTTGGTGATCTCACAGATGTAGCAGATGACCCGATGGAGGCGGGGCTTAAGCGTGAGCTCCGGGAGGAGGAGGGGCTTCTGGAGGAGGCGGAGTCACAGTGCACTTCCAAGCGTTTCAGTGGCAGCTCAGACCATAAGTCCCGCCCCTGCAGCTGGACTCCAGAGACTCTACAGCTATCAGAGCTCAGCGGAGAGGTCATGTGACTCGAACACTGGCCGATCAAATGAATGTTTTACGACCCAGAAGCCTATATGATGCATTTCTGCTTTAACACATGCACAAAGACTCACAGGAATACTCCGTCATAATGAGCAGAACTCTCAGAAAGCATCTGAACTCCATTAATCCCTCAAACACAACCATATTGGCTGCTTTTGTTGGTTTTGTTTTGCTAGCGTGTGTGTGTTTTCTGTGTTCAGGAGAGAACTGTGTACATTGAACAGAGTTTGTGAAGTAAATATGCAATAATGAAGTCTTTATGCTCATTGAACACATGTCGATGTAATGCAAATTAAAAAAAATCATCAGTGTGAGCTTTTGAAGAAATTCTTTGAGGGAAAAATATAGTGGCCATGATTAAAATGTCATTTATATACACATCAACACATTTCACTATTTCATTTAGTCTTTAGCAAGTACATTGTGCATGAAATATAATCATTAGTTTGCTTGTTTTCTGAAATTGTGGCCATGTTGTTACATTTTTTAAGAATTGACTACAATTAACACCAAAAACAAGTTTTTTTTATAGTTTAACTATGGTATACATAAGTTATACACAGTTTTGATAATACTCTGGTTAGACAAATGCTAATTAATATGCCAAAAAAACATGGTTACATCACTTTAACCACAATGAAACCATGATTAATGTGCTTAAGGATTTGCTATAATTAAAAAAAGAGGGAACAAATATGTTTAAAAGCCACAAATTATTAAAATTGAAGAGAAAAATAGTAGATCATAACAACAAATACTTAAAAAATAATGTGGAAATGATATAAATCTGGTATAAAATTATTATATTTTTATTATTTTAGATAAAACCCTGAATGTGTAACATTAATAATAAGTAGAAACAAGCATTAAAACTATAAAATCACATCACAAAAGTTAAATGTTTACCGTTATTATATACAGTTGGAGTCAGAATTATTAGCCCCCCTGTTTATTTTTTTTCCTCAATTTCTGTTTAACGGAGAGCACCAACACATTTCTAACCATAATAGTTTTAATAAATGATTTATTTTATTTTTGCCATGATGACAGCACATAATATTAGACTAGATATTCTTCAAGACACTTCTATACAGCTTAAAGTGACATGTAAAGGCTTCACTAGGGTAATTAGGGTAAAGTTAGGGTAATTAGGCAAGTCATTGTATAACAGTGGTTTGTATTGTAGACTATCTAAAACAATATAGCTTAAAGGGGCTAATAATATTGACCTTAAAATGGGTTTAAAACAATTAAAAACTGCTTTTATTCTAGCCGAAATAAAACAAATAAGACTTTCTCCAGAAGAACAAATATTATCAGACACACTGTGAACATTTCCTGAATCTGTTCAACATCATTTTGGAAATATTTTAAAAAGAAAAAGCAAATTCAAATGGGGGCGAATAATTCTGACTTCAACTGTGTGTGTGTGTGTGTATATATATATATATATATATATATATATATATATATATATATATATATATATATATATATATATATATGGATAAAGCAACACTTTTTAACTTCAATCACAGGTAAAATATCTAAAACAGACAAAAATTAAATATCAAATATGTAAATAAATAAATTGAGTAAATATGTTAAGTCTTAATTGTTTTCTTATTATGTAAATTAAAAATAGTTTAAAAAACTGAATATCTTTTTTGAGATGTAAAATGAAGGATTGGTTTTATTATACATACATTTAGCAGAAATTTACATTTTATCAATAATGTAACGCTATTTTTATTTAAGGGCAACACTTTAAAAAATATTTATTTTATACATTTATTTGTTATTTTTATGATTATAAACATCAGAAACAAGTTTAAAATGCTTAACAATACATACAAATAGTGTATAAACAAAATAAAAGGAAAAAAGCATCATGTTTATATCATTTAAATAAGCACATATAGCTAATTTTAATGTCAGCATATAAAAGACATTATATACTCTATAGACAGCAAGTCCACTATTCAATTAACTTTAAGATACTATAATTGTATCTTGACATTTATTATTTATTATAAATACACTAAAGATGATTCATTTAGTCATTTAGCAGACGCTTTTATCCAAAGCGACTTACAAATGAGGACAAGAAGGAAGCAATTTACACAACTAAGAGCAACAACGAATAAGTGCTGTAGGCAAGTTTCAGGTGTGTAAAGTCTAAGAAGGAAAGCATTATTAATTTTTTTTTCATATATAAATTGAAATAAATTAAATGAAATAAAAGATTTCATAAATGAAAATCAATTATAAAACCCTTAGATAAAGCCACGCTTTTAAAGTTGACTCACCATCTCTTGTGACGTAAGATCCAGAGTTCGCCAATCCTACTACGGCGAAGGCTGAGCTCATGAATATTAACACTTTATTTGCACGACGCTTCCAATGAAGTAACACACTATTTATTCACGTTCTAAAAACGCCTCCGTTCGAGCCAATCAAGCAGCGCGAGCGTCCCGTTACGTCATTAATATTCATGAGGCGGGCCTTCGACGTAGTAGCGCTAGATCTGCATCCTGCATTGAGCGCCACGTCGCAGCAGCAGCAAAACACCGATGATTCCCGCACATCTGACGGGCAACCAGGACACAAAACCTGCGGGGAAAACAGCGTAAACATGGTGAAGGTGAGCAGAAACACCGCGTTTATCATTAATGACTGATGCACGTCACTGCAGACGCTTTAAAGTTACTTTCGCGAGTTACCGACGCTCTATAATCCGCGCGTTTCACTGGTTTTGAGTATCTATTTGCTGTGCATCAGAATATTTTTAAGTTTGACTGCAAAACATCATTTTTAATGCACTATTTAAAAAGTTTTAGGTTATATGATATAAATAGCGCTTTGTTGTCAAGTTAATTGCAGTTAAAAAGTTACTTTTTAAAGTAATAATGCCTTACAGTATTGAGTTACTTCATAAAAAAAGTAACTAGTTGCGTTACTTGGTTACTTTTTTAAGTAATATGATAATTTTGTGTTGCTTTTGCATAACTTTTTCTTACCTGGCCAAGGCTTGATCTCTTTCAGAACTTGCAGGGGCTTTACTTCGTATTTTTATTTATTTATATTTTATTTTATTTTAATCAAACACACACCATATACTCTTCATTTGCCTTTTAAAAACATTAAATAATAATAATGTTGTATAATGTAGTCTTCTAGGAACTTCCCAGAGCTTTACATGCAATATATACAGATCATTGCAGTTTAAAGCAGTGTTCACTGATATTAGTCTTATTAGTGCAGTAAAATCACTGTGCATTGAGTAGGCATGGGCCGGTATAAGATTCTGACGGTATGATAACCTTGGATAAAAATATCACAGTATTGTGATTACCAGAGGTGGGAGTAAGTCACACGTGTGCATTGTGCAAACCTCGAGACATCACCTTCAAGTTTCAAGCAAGTCAAGTCAATGTTTGTCAGACTCACTGCTTTTCTCAAGTCAAGTCGTAGCTTGGTCTAGCAAGTCACTTTCAAGTCAATCAAACTTTTGTCAATTTTTTAACTTTTGCAGTTTATTTTTACATGTATAGCTTTCAGTTTTGTATGACATGCATATGTAACAAACAGTTATTTATTAAAAACAAAACAATTTATTTTGAGTCATTTAAGTCTAAGTCAAGTCTGAAGTCATGACAGTCAAGTCGAGTCTTTTCTGGATATTTGTCAAGCAAGTCTCAAATCCTAAGTTTTGCTAAAGTCTGACTTATGATGACACAAGTTATGACTTGACTTGAGTCCCTCATCTCTGGTGATTACTGCTCTAAAATAATTTCTTTTTAAATGTCTGGGTAAAAAAACAAAATGTTCCCCCTTTGAACACATTATATTTTATTTTTTGAAAGATTTATAGTTTTATGGAGCAGTAAACATGTCAGGCTAAATGATGAAAATGAATCATAAGCCCCTTTCACACAGTGATACCGGTAAATATCTGGAAAATTTCCGGAACGACTTTTACCGGTATATTCAAAAAAGCGCTGTTCACACAGGCGAGGACGTTACGGAAAGTTTCCGGAAAAGAGCATTCACACATCCATTCCAAAATACCGGTAAATTCTGACATCATTCACCACAAATGAGCTTTAAACGGCTGCGCTTGTGTTTGTAAACATTTGACTAAATTACAAACTCTGTGGATGATCAATATTGTGAACGACTTTCGCAGGATCACTTTCGCATGTCGAGATGTTCATAATATGTGCGTGTGCAGGCGCTCACAGGCACACGCAAACTGCCCGTTTCGCTGTTTGATGTTGCAAACTGATATTTCCTTATTATATTATTCTACTTGGTCTGTGTAGTCATGCAAACATTTGTTTGTAGAGTGAGTAGTTTGACCGTTTTCTGCCGTTTATTATTCCTAATCGTTTCTCCCATAGGCGACTTAATCGAAAGATCTAAAACAATCGCGAAAACGGGCGCACTTCCGCATTTTAGAATAAGGTCAATCCCTTGAAAACGATTATCGTCCCACGCCTGGCATTGAGACTATAATCCCCTTTTCCACTGTGTGTGTTCAGAATAATGAGAATACCTCCAGTGCTCTGCCATCTTGGTTTCTGTCCTCATGGAGTGCATGCTTCAACATGACCATGCTCACAATAATTCAGCAAAGCTGATTAATTAAACTAAAAACAACTCAAATATTATCACTTAATGTTTTACGCTCCAATCACATTGGCGTGTCAACGCTTCCCATTCACTTTAAATGGGTGACGTCAGGCGTTGCCGAACTGCATTGTGGATCCGTTGGCTCTGCTTCAGAGGCGTTGCTCGCTGCAAAAGTTGGGGCTTGCTCAAATTTTCAAGCGGCGACGGAAGCGTCAGCCAATCAGATCGCTGTATGCAAATACACCAGCTCAGACAGCAGCCTATTGCTGACTAATTTCATTGGCTAACGCTGCTATGACAATTGCGTCAGCTCTAACTTTAGACACGCCCTCTGTCAAGCGTTGACGCTGAAGCCCCATTTAAATGGGGCGTTAATTAGTCAGCAATAGGCCACTGTCTAAGCTGGTGTATTTGCATACAGCGATCTGATTGGCTGACGCTTCCGTCGCCGCTTGAAAAGTTGAGCAAGTCCCAACTGCTGCAGCAAGCAACGCCTCTGTAGCGGCGCCGACGGATCCACAATGCAGATTAAGTATCTTGTGTCACTTGTAATGCGTTACCCCCAACACTGGTCACGTGTGAATGTTTATTTCTCTTCCAGACAGAATCTGTGTTTATTGTTCAGTTTTGTTTGTTTTCAGAGTGTGAATTCACAAACTGAGTCCAGGAGTGAAACATATGAAGGAGAGGAGGCTGAAAACACTGAAAACCAGCCGTCTGCAGGTAAATGAGGGTTTTACAGCCCATAATAATCCCTGCTGTCTCCATATGGATCACTCGTGATGAAGTTATGCACATATTTTGTGTTATAATAACAATATTTTTAAATGATCTTTGCTTTTTAGCTGTTTCTGAGGGATTATTTTTGTAACACGTTGGTGTAGTAAACACACACACACACACACACACACACACACACTGCTGTGGTTTGAGGTTTGCTGCTATTTCAGTGAATGATCTGGGGAAAACAGCTCTGCTTTGTGTGTTCTGGGACCTCAGGCTTGCTTTCGCTCAACATTTTGTTTTAATGATGCAAGAGATGCACATTTACATCATTTCATATTTAAAATGAGAAGGAATGAAATGCCAGGAACTAATTATTAAGACTAAAGGTTAAAAAACATTTCACTTTTAATGTTTCTAGTTACATAAACTATTGATTTTAAACATTTCTATTATTGTTTTTAGTTTTATAATTCGTCTTTTATTATAAAATTAACATATATATGTATATATACACATACATGTATTATTATAATTAACTATTAATTATATTTTTTTTTCAATAAAAATGTATTATATATTTACTTGTTAAACAATTTGAAGCTTTGAATATTAAACACACTGTTAATATTGTTAAATATTTTATTTATTTCTATTATTTATTTAATTATTGTCCTCTTTATCAAATTAGTGGAATAGGCTGGGGAAATAATTAATATTTCTGTATTTGCTTGAACTTTATTTAAAATATCAATAAATATTGCTAAAAAATTCACATTTTCATGCACCTTATAATAAAATATAAACATACCCAGTTCTTATTTGCATGTTTTTAATATATATTTCATATTTTATATTTCAATTTACATTTATTATTACTATATTTATTAGCATTAATATTTATTTATGTTATTTTAAATAAAAAAATACCTTTGTTGGTTTTGTTACATTACAATGAATATTTAAATATAATTCATGATAATTACTGAAAATAATAATCAACAAAATTATTGTTACAGAATGTTTTGATTTAAATTTAGCATGAATTGATAATTCTCAAATTTGTTTTAAATGTACTGAGGTCGGTAATTTTAATTGCGATGAGTTTTATAAAACTGTTACTGCAATAAACCTGTTATTATTGCGATTGTCAGCAGATGGCGGTAAAGAGCACCCGACAGCTCCGACCGGGATGATCTGGCGTGTCACTGGCGGCCTCTTCAGCGCCACCAAGGGCGTGGTTGGAGCCACAGTGGGCGGAGTCACCTGGCTGGGCGGGAAAAGTTTGGAGATCACCAAATCAGCTGTGACCGCAGTGCCCTCGGTGGGCGTCAGCCTGGTGAAGGGCGGAGTTTCTGCAGTGGCAGGGGGCGTGTCCACAGTGGGGTCAACGGTAGCCAATAAAGTTCCATTCACAGGAAAGAGGAAGGACAAATCAGAGTGAAGAAGAGGACTACGATGAATAAAATACCGTTTGATTTCCACGCTGGACACCAGAGACACTGACTGATGTTCTCCACCGCCATATTTGATTTGGTTATAATCACGTAAGAAGAGCTCTGTGGAAATAGTTTGGGTTTTTCACAAATGATCTCAGATCTGCGACTAAAGACACGTTTACTTGTCGTGGTTTTGGCCGACACCGAACACTATTTCACCATCTCCTGTAGCTGATTTCATCTGATGTTGTCGGTCAGATTATGTTTGTAAATTACATTTTTTATTATTTGAATATAATAAAGTCATGTTAAAGAAGTTTGCGAAAGTGTTATTTTTTTCCGTGATTCAAACTTCAATGTCTGAAACGTTTTCAAATACATTGTTAATCTTGAAAGCAAGCTAGCGATGCATCTTTAAACCTTATTCTGCAAATAGTACATTTGTTTAACACAATTTTTGGTTTCCAAAATATTTCGTTTTTTTTTTTTTTGTTAGCTGTGAATGTTTGCTTTATGTAAATATGATGTGGTTTGTTTGTTTGCTAACCAAGTTTTTGGATTGTATCCATTAAATGCTAATCATTCATTCAAATATTATTTTCGGCTTAGTTCATTAATAATCTGGGGTTGCCACAGGGGCATGAACCGCCAACTTATCCAGCATATGTTTTACACAGTGGATACCCTTCCAGATGCAACCCATCACTGGGAAACATGCATACACACTCATTCACACTCATACACTACTGCCTATTTAGCCTACCGAATATACCTACACATGTCTTTGGACTTGTGGGGGAAACCGAAACACCCGGAGGAAACAAACTCGAGGAGAACGTGCAAACTCCTTCTAGGTACACCAACTGACCCAGCCGAGGCTCGAACCAGCGACCTTCTTGCTGTGAAATGAACGTGCTACCCACTGCGCCAACGTGCAGCACTAACAATAATCAAATAAATATAATTCATAGTAAATACTGTAGTGATTTCAACTAAAATAGAAACTGATTTTACAGTTGCTATGGTAACAACTGTTATTGTAATATAAGCACATGTCCCAAAACTGTAGTTTTGCTACAATAGGGTATCTTACAATACAATACACCACAGTTTACTGTAGTAAAAACTAAAGTACTACGGTATTAGTTTTTCATTTCAATGTAGTTAATATTACATTGAGCATTAGTGCTGAAAATATATAAAAATACACTTAAAAATGGGTCAAAAACAGCGTTTACTATAAAGTTATAATAAAAATTCACTTGGGAAAACAATCAGGGATTGTGAAATATCAGATTAATTCACAGACGCTACAAAACAAATGTAGTATTACTTTGTGTCGACAAACAAACATATAGGGCATAGTTTAAATTTCATAGCAATGAATATATTTTAGCAAAACATACCTTTCTCTCTTGATCCGTGTAGATTCAACGTCATGTTAAGCGTGTCAGAACTACTCGAAATCACAAATATCAGTCATTATCCATTAACAAGATCGAGAAACTGACGTTAGTCAGTAAGACGGAAAGAAATGACCGTTAATTTTTGAATGACTGAAGCTACGCGACTCACAGAAAGCGCGCGCTAGAAGAGATGCGCGGGAAAGATCCAATAAAACTAATAAAATTTTCACGATTATTTACCCAATATAGAGCTTGCTTAAACATTGTTAGTCAGTCAACCATAAAAAAAACGCTAGAAAAAGAACAGGACTGTGTTATAAATGGGAGTTTTTTTTGTTTTGACTAATTATCCAACGCTGCTTTTACACTAACTCCAGCAATGTAGACCATTTTGAGGGATGTGATCAAACTAGGGATGGGAAGATTAACCGATATGTATCGATACGCGGTCATGCGCGTGCACGATGCGAGTGCATCGGTTGAGCAGCAGAGGATGAATGAAATTTTGGAAGCAAATCGAGATGCATCGGTTTTTGCGAGATGCATCGATTTTTCCGAGATACAGCTTATATTTTTAATATAGAATGTATTTTTTATTTATTAACAAGTGTTGTCAACCTGTTTTTGGCGCATAATTTAATCGACCTACATAAAGTAAGCCTTAGCAACGGATTTGCGGATGTGCACACACTACAACTCAGTGTATCAGGTGTGCGGATGAAGCTAGTGGAGCGCCCTCAGAAAGCGCGAGAAGCAAAACAAACATTTTATTCCCCACTGAGTTTTAAATCTAAAGTATGGCAAGCAACATTATGGATTTAAGGATGGACGACGTGACAGGACAGATGCAATTTGCAAAATGCATTGCCGCGCATCTGTAAAATACGCAGGCAGTATGACTAATCTGATATCTCACTTGAAGCGGCGCCACGGTGTTGTGAAAGCATCTTCCAGTGTTTCTGCATCCCCGGCTTTCGCACTGCTTCAACCAGCTCCAAAAGTGGTGAGAAAAGCATTGAAAGTTTTTTTTTCCATGCGCAACAGTTCTGCTCGCTCTACGCCAATAACGAATGCTATTGCATTGTTCATCTGCAAAGATATTCAGCCTAGTGTCACGGAGAACGAAGGTTTTAAACACCTCCTCCTGTTAATTTTTATTTAATTATAATAATAATAATATTAATAATAATAATGATAAAAATAATTGGGTGTCACGGTGGCACAGTGGGTAGTTTGACCACCTCACAGCAAGAAGATTGCTGGTTTGTTATATTTTTATTAGCCTGTTGTTTACAGTGACAGTGATGTTTCAAAGCAGCATAACACTGCTAGTTCACCACCTTAAGTTTTGAATAATCAGTGGCAAAATATATCTTTGTAAAACCTGTTTTCATAGTTGAAAAGTTAAATCACAATTCTTGTTGTGCAATGCTAATTTCATTTATGTTGAAAGAGTGCAAATATATACATATTTTTTTAATATATATTGCACTTATACATTCTGTTTATCTTGAAAATACTTAAATAATATGTGCTATAGGTTCTAAAATGGCCCTCTACTGTAAACTGACACTCTGGCTCTGAGAGAAAAGCCAGTTTGTAAAAAAAAGTCTTGGTTTTGCTTAGTTAATAAATAATCAAACTCATTCAATGGCACAGCATCCTCTTTCACATCATCTCATAAACTTGATCTAATTAGTTAGTGCTGAAATATCGCATCGTATCGTGATATGGGTGTGAATCGTATCGTGTTGCATCGCAATATGTCACAAATGTATCGCTAATATATCGGATCGTATTCTTTGTATCGAGATGCGTATCGGATCGGCATTATAGCTTAGATGCCCAACCCTAGATCAAACACAATGGTCCCAACCTATTTCCAGTTTAACATTTTTAATTTCTATAGCTTCCGAGAATCCAAAAAGAGCCACATATTGATAAATAATGTTATGACAGCTGTCTTAACATTAACTTATGATTGAATTGCTTCTTGTTAGTTATTAATATTTGAAAACAAGCAGGAATGACCACAAATCAGGGGCGTAGCAGACATTTAAAGGGAGTGGGGGGGGGGGTTATAACTTATAAAAATTATAAGTTTATGTACATATAATTATTAATCACCTGTTTCTAAATGGTCTGTGTCTAAAAGTGAGGGGGACATATCCACCCCAGTTGCTATGCCCCTAGTCTATATAGTTTATAGTTATGAAAAGTTAGTTATGGAAATCTGTACTTTTGGGAAGGTTGTTCTTAGGTTGTAAAATCAGGTGACGACCTGTATAGATAATTCATTAAAAAAACGGCCTTGGAAGCTATGGGGACATTATATTAAAGTTGCAAATAAATAAAAATAATAGTTATTTGGTAATATAAAAATTTCATTGCACAAAATTGTAGCATGCTCATTAGTTAGCCTTCACATTTAACTATAATTAAGCTACAGCATATTTCAGATATTCATAATATGAAATATGCTGGTGACACGGTGGTTAGCATTGTGGCCTTACAGCAAAAAGGTCGCTGGTTCAAGTTCCGGCTGGGCCAGTTGGCGTTTGGAGTTTGCATGTTCTTCCCGTGTTGGCGTGGGTTTCACCCACAGTCCAAACACATGTGCTGCAGGTGAACTACAAAAACAATATTGGCCGTAGTGTGTAAATGAGTGTGTATGGGTGTTTCCCAGTACTGGGTTGCAGCTGGAAGGGCATCCGCTGTGTAAAACATATGCTGGAATAGTTGGTGGTTCATTCCATTGTGGCAACCCCTGATGAATAAAGGGACTAAGCCGAAGGAAAATGAATGAATGCATGAATGAAATATGCGATATGTATAAACACAGACAAATAAGCACGCAAATTGTTTACATTTTTTTTATTAGCTGAACAATGAAGTTCCACACAGAGACTAAGAATCCAATGCTGGTACGATAAATATCAGACTTCTATTTACAGTTCAAAACAGCTACAAATACTCTGTAGAAAATGACAACACAATCGGAAAACAAATGTACAGCTCTGTGAGATACAGCCGTCATATACATGGAAATGCTAAAAATAATAGCAGTGTGCAGTGATGGAAGACAAACATCTGGAGCTCAATCTACACTAGATTTGTGCAAAAACAATGAAAACAAGATGACACATTCGTTTATCTGTGGTACAGTTACAAGCGCTTGGACCCAAAGGTCATCATGTGACCACAATGGAAACAGTTTGTACAGGCGAGGCTGCTGTGAAAACTCTGCTGGATTCGTTTAAATGTGGCGTAACGCATGTACTTCGGCTGTTTGCGATTCACCTTTAAGGTCCATTCACAGCGAATTAAAATATAAACTGACAAAAAAAGCGGCGACCAATAAAACTTGAGCTTTGGTTCACAAGTTCATGGAGTACACATATTAATACAAATATCGAAAAATGTGGCTTTTTTCGTTCAGCCTGATAAACATTCGTATCTTTGTACATTTAGCATCTTAAGTACAGTATTTACGGATTTTTAAAATCAGCATTTGGGATTATAAAAGTGTAAATCATACTTAATTTAATTTATATTACATTAAAATTACGTTTAACACCAAAGTTTAACAATCGTTTTAATATTCTGTTAATAAAACATCGGTTTTTCATTTAGCCTGACGAATATTCGTTTTGCTGTAATAGACAGACAATTCTCTTGGCATTTGGTGTGGAGGGACTTTTAATTAAATAGTTGTAGTTTAATGTCATAAAGACATATGTACATCAGATTTTTAAAAATAAATATATTTGTTGGTTAAGTTCTTAAAATTCGTTTTATAAACATTAAAATTGTTTAGACGCAATCTGGACGAGTCGTGTTTAACTGTTTAACACGCAAAGGGAAGTTATAACACATTTAGCGAATCCATTGGTGGGTGGGGCTTAGGTAGA